AATTTAATTAAATCAGACTTTCAACATGTCAGAGGTTTTTTTCTCTTTCTTTCTATTTTCGGTGAAGTTGTGTTGTGTTGTGTTGTGTAAAAAGGTAAAGTTATGACTCGTATAAAATGCGAAAAAGTCTCTAAATTAACTTGAGTATTTTTGAGCAAAATTGCTCTTGGGGGTTGGAAGGGTTATGTGATAGGTGAGGGAGGGAGTTATGCATGTGCGCGTGTCACACCAATCACAGTGCGGGTTGTATCAAAGAACGTATCAAATTGCCTGTTAGAAAATAAGATGGTATCTACATTAACCTGGAGACGTGTCAAATTACTGTAGTTTGTTCAGTCAAGCATTTTATGGCTTACTATTTAGCTATCTTACCATGACCGATGTAACATCGCAACCAATAAGACTTGTCAAGTTAACCAAATCAGTACTGTACTATGAATGCTTCTATCTCCAACACTTCATACAAAAAAATAACTCTTGCACGCCTTGCGTGCCTATGTTTTACTAGAGTAACAAAGGTGCTCTAATATATATTTCACTGGAGAATGGAGGATTGCAACACAACATAACAAATGCATGTTCTTTCTATCTCTCTCCCCAGGAAATTCAAGTTTGTGCTGTGAAGCTAGTCATCCAGTGTCAGCAGTCCTCATTCAACTCCTTTCCCATACCATTCAGGAATGCAGAGTGTCGGCAGGGATTGTACCATGTTCTACTTTGTTGTCTTCTTACTAAGTCACCCTATGTTCCGTCACCTGTCAATCATGCTGTTAAATTATTCAGCTCAGGGCGTCAGGATATAGACTTTAAGGTAGAGTAGGTGTGATGATAGATTGCTTTCATTTTGAATTGTGTTATCAGGCCTGTAATTGGCCCGTGGGCATTACAGAAGAATAATACCCTAGAATTAGTCAATGAGAGCAAGCATTATATCGGCAAAAAACACAGACCATAGAGCACTTGTAAACATCTAGAGGGGCTTTATGTAGAGAGCTTTATATAGAGAGCTTTATGTAGAGAGCTTTATCTAGAGAGCTTAGATCAGTCCCAAAATAGTTATCAGCAAATTTAATTGTTTACATTAAGAACTTGACAAGTCTTCCCCAGCATGAGGTTGATTCACTGATTATTCAGAGAGCATAACATTGGATGATTGGTCCGTAATTGAATGTTCACTTTTTCTTCGGAACTATTTCTTTTCAGGTGTCAAGTTTCTGTCAAGAAGCCTTAGCTGTTGCCAATTCCATTATTCATCCGAGGTCCTTTCCTCAAGGGTGCTCTGCCTCTGGACCATTATTGCTTGGCACCCCTGAGAACCCTTCTTCAAATGGTCTACTGTCTGTGAACCATGAAAGTGTATCAGAATCATTATCTTCCTATAGAGAGAACCAAATGGCAATGAGTGAAAATGTTTTATCTCGGCAAAGTTTGTTGTTTGAAAGCAACAATCCTAATGGCATTGCTTGCTCACAAACAGATCAAATGTCTGTAGAACATAGGGATGGGGATTACATAGAAACTACTGAAGGAAGCAAGTCTTTCACCAATGTTGGGAATACACCAATGGAGGAGATTGAACACGAGACATCTAGAGAACAAACTGAACAGTCTAACACTAGTTGGAAAGAAATCAACACTCAAAAAGAGAAATCACACAATGAAGTAGTGAACCCCGAGAGTGAACTGACTGGAGCTGGGCCTATTACCTCCAGCTTTAACACAGTGAGCGCACGATTGTCATTTCAGAAGAAATTCATCAAACATGCAAATCAAATGTCTGCGTCAGAAAGCCTATCAAGCGAAGCTGTTGTTAATTCTCCCCAGCAGCTACAAAAAATGCCTGACTCCAAAAATACTCTGGGGTTATCCGAGCCCAAGCAAAGAAGGATTGAAGATAATGATCCCAATGCAGGCAAAGAGAAACAAGTTGAGAGCCACAAAGCTACATCTAAACCTAACAAAGATCAACTCACAGTAAATATCACAGAAAATGAAAATGTAACCAATCAGGTAAGTAAAACACTTTTTTTTAATCCAGACACCTTTGGCTGGTTATTTGAACAAAGTTCAGCAATCCATGTAGGTTGGTTAAGTCTCCATTTGAGCCCACTGGCACACCTGGCCCAGTGCTTATCTCCAGTTTCTGTGGCATGATTGCTAGATTTGATGCTAGTCCATTGCAGGGTTACCCCCTGCATTAAATGTGCCAGTACCCATTTTTACTCCTTGGTGGAGCGAGGCACTGTGAGAGTAAAATGTCTTGCCAAAGAACACAACACAATGACCATCGCCAGGGTTTGAAACCAGACAGCTCTGTTTAGAGTCCAGCACTCTTATCATAAGACCACCACAGCATATCATGATGACTTTAATGGAGCTCAGTCATGGTTTGCGCATATTGAAAAGTTTAGCTGCAATTTTTCAAATTTGTTGTTTGTAATCCATGTTAATCTTCTCCATCCTTAGCCATACTTGTTCCTTTATGGTTTATCATTATCTCTTCCAACTGGTGTTTTTTTATCTTATTAATCTGTTATTTTCAGGTTTCCTACCATTAAAGGTAATTTTGTATGTGGCCAAAATAACTCAAAATACTGTGACTGAGTCCCTTTAAATAACTTAAGAGTCACACCTGATCAGACTTCAAGCAGAGTTCCCGATTTAATGTCATCATGAATCTAATGAGCAATTCCTCTCCATGGAATCATATTTGTGATGGAATATCATTAACTGCTTCCTTTTTCAGGACACTGATAGTGATGAAACAGCTCAGTTGTTGGCAGCCTTTGTTGACTCATACCCGGACTCTGATGAGCCAGAATTTGGATGAAGACTTTTAGCACTCCTATGGGACGTTTTAAGAACCAGATTTAACCATTATGCCTTTACATCAATGGCACAAGAGTCATGAACAATATCACCTCAGTGGCAGGGCAAATCAATAAACATTCAGTTCAATCCTGACAATGTGCTAAGAATAAAGATAATTATGTATTGTACCGATGAGCTCATTATATGCATTTGACAAGTCAATGGCAGTGTGAAAATAGGTGTTAACACAAAGAACAGTCAATGAAAACAAAAAAAATAAACAAGACAAGACAATGAGCTTACTCTCTTACTAACTCCCATCTGTTTTTTTGTTTTGTTTTTGTTTTTGTTTTTTTGTTTTTTTCACTTCCTCATCCAGCCTTTCCCTAGCTAACCAACACCTGGAACAGCCAAACAGATAAAACAGACAGTGTAATGGGTCTTAGAGAACATAAGAGAAATGTTGGCGAATTCTTGAGTCCACATGGCTAATTAATGTTGTTGATTTATAAGCAGTAAACAAAGCACATTTATTTTCCGTTTGGTGTTTACATAGCCCCACTTTAAACTTTCATTAAAACATAGCTTACTTTCTACAAACAAAAGCTCCAGCGAGGCTGGAGTTGACCTTGTTTTGATACAGGCCTCACTACTTTTGTTGTGTAAAACAAGTTGTTCTGATGCTAACTAGGTGCATTTACATGACAAAAGCATTGAGGTCTGTATCAAAACAAGGTCAACTCCAGCCTCGCTGCCATCCAAAGGCCAGGTCACTGAGCAGACAACTGTAAAATGGTCTATTCATATTGAGCTTTATTAAGGACTACTGGAATGTTAAACCTTATTTACATATTTAACTGTGACATTTGAAAACTTGTATGTATAATCTGCTGCAATTTTACCAACCTCTCTAGTTACCTGAAGTCAAACTTCAATTTCTTTTTAAAAACGTTGGAAAAAAAATTTAAAGAATGTGCAATATTTGCTCAAAATTGCAGTGTCAAAAGGTATGCGTGTCTCATGCTGTTAAATTCAGCTATCCATAACCGCAACCCATTCACAATTATCACAGGTAAAATAGTGATAGAATCACATGCATATAAAACTAAGAACAACTTAGCTTGAAAACATTTTCTGTCACTAAAAGGAAAAATTTCTCCTCAACTGTGATAATTTTTCAACTTCAACTACTAGCATGTGTATCAGAACAACTTTCCTCTTTTTCATTTTGACTGCTGGTTCGTAGCAGATATCCATCTGCAGTTCCTTTCTTTCTGTCTACCTCTGCCACTTTTTTGCTTGCCAAATCAAATTCTTTTTGCAGCTTCAGTGCAAGCTGAAAATCCTTTTCTTCTTGGTCTGTTCTTTTCTCTATGAGTTGTGAAATGGTAAGGTTACAAATATCACTGGATGTGGAACTTGATGAAACAATAAAATCCTGTCTGTCTACATCAGTATTTTTGCAGTGAATCAATGCATTGGGCTTGAGTCTTTTCTTTGCCGAGCCTGTAAACAAAGGTATGCCAAAATTAACAACTATATTTAGTGGGTTTTTATTGCAAAGTCAAGTGCATTATCACCAGTTATTCCTAGTAGTGATTTTACCATGCTATGAATAAAAGTATTCTAAATACAATCACTCTCCATCCTACACTCTTTTCAAAGGTATGAGTGTAAAATTTAATGATTTTACCATTCAGTACAATCATAAGCATGTAGGCAGTAACAAGAATGTAATGCAAACCTTCACTATCTAAGAAAGATGATTGCTTACTGGTGGGAAGGAACCATCTGTCCAGTGTACTGTGGCCACGACTGACTTGGGTGTCCTGTGATTTGATTTTTTTACCTTTTGTGACTTTTTTTGTGTGGGGGGTTCCTGTTGTACTTGGTTGTGAAAGTCTCTCCTTTCCCTGTGAGTTCTGAAGAAAATTCATCACGAATTGAAACTAATCAGTCCTAAGTTTGAAGCATTATGAGAACAGACTGGTAAGTCAAGTAACCTAAGTGAACAGAGCTGATTATCAACTGCAAGTTGATAATGGTACCATACATAAATTAAGCATCATAGTGAGTTTCAACAGCTGTTGATAATCAGCTATGTGTTTCACTCGCCTACCGATGCTGCAGAACAGTTTTTTTATACTAATAGTAAGCCATTTATACACCTTGGTGGAGAGAGGCATTGTGAGGGTTAAGTGTCTTGCCCAAGAACACAACTCGATGTCCCCTGCCAGGGATCGAACCCAGACCGTTCAATCAGGAGACGAGCACACTAACCATGAGGCCACCATGCCTCCACAACTTGGGCCATTACACCAAGAAAGATCTGCCTTCATCACCCTTTTGAGACCATTTAACAACTCAATTTTGAAAGATAATCACCTGTTCCCTTTCTTCTGCCACTATTTTTCTTGCAAGTTCTTCATCTTGCAGTGCCTGGTACTCTAATGACCTCGCAAGTCTTTGCTCTTCTTCTTGTAGTTGATGGATAACTTCCTCACTGGCCTGAATCTCTTGTTCTCTAGCTTGTTGCAACTAACAAGTTATGGAAAAAATGACAACTTCTGATGAGCTTAAAAGATAACATCCATAACATTTAAGAAATAAATGAGATTGGAACGAAACTAAGTTAGAACTTGTCTAATAATATTTACCTTTCTCAGTTCTTCTTCATACTCCTTGCGAAGCTCTCCATCCTGGGAAATTGCACGCTTGGGTGGTGAAAAATCTGCATCATATAAAAATAAATTTATTTAAAAGTTAAGCTTAAGCTTAATTGAAATACCTTTGACTTTGTCTGGTTTGAAGAACAAGTCAACATTAAAAATATTACTGTTTCCAGATCATTTAAGCACTTAACTTATTTTTTCATTCATGTTTGGCAACTACACACATATTACTATTTTATAATAGTTACACAATGTGCACGACATTTGTTTAAGAAATTCTCATCGAGGGAGCTCATCCAAAATACATTAGCATTGTACCAGTAGACGAACGAGAGTTATTCACATAAAGCGTCAAGTACCAACCAAAGAAGTCTTCATCGTCTTCTCCGTGTAATCTCTTCCTGCAGTTCTCAGGAAACAGCTTCTGGATTTGTTCCCATCGCTTAGAGTTAACCAATGTTCCATTTCGGGAGTTTCTTCTCGCCCAACTTGATATTCTCATTCGACAGAGAGGGCAAAGGAAATTCGCTTCCTCAACATTTTTCTTGAAACACGGTCCACATAGCTCGTGTTCACATGGCATAATAACAGGCTCGATGAGTATTTGCAAACATATCGGACATGTGAAGTCCGACAAAGAGATTGAAATGTCATTCCCATCGTTGAAATTTACTGTTTTTAACTTTTCAGGGCTGACCACCTTTCCAGCCGCCATCTTGGATAATTACAAATAAATAATAATTACTTTTGGCGCCAAAATGTGACCAATCAGCCCTTCGGCCCAGTCCGCCAATCGGTTGCAATGTTGCAAGCCTTACCATACCTTTGAGTTAAAGCATGGATAGTCTTCTACTATCCATGGTTAAAGACTGAAGCTATTTAGAGATCATCCTAGAAGTCTTTCGTTTCAATTTATTTTAAGGTGTGGGTGACTTTCGTCCATGTCAGAGCCTTGGACACCCGGGGACCTTTGTATGCAAGAACCCAAAGATAAAACTCCCATTTTAGACATTTTACGCGACTGAAACACCGTTAGCAACGCGGTTGCAAATGGCGGGAAATGGTTGTGGCGGGAAAAGTTAAGTAATACGCGTCTTCTCGGGAAGTATAAAAGTTGAATGAACTCACCTTTTGCCATTTCATCACATATTTCACTTTTGCTAGATTTTTGCTGTCAAGGATTTAAAATCAATAAGTAACATATAAAGATGCCAGCGGCAGAAGTTGAGACGACATTTACGAGCCCAGTCGCAGAAAAAGAAGTCGAGATAGTTCCTGAAAAGGGCGAGACAAACTGCACAGGAAAGGCTTGCGAAGAAACGAAGATTGAAGATGAAAGCATGAAGACAATGGAGGAGTCGGAAAAGATGGAAAAAGAGAAATTTCCGGAGACAGAAAACAAAGAAGAGTCGAATACTCTGTCAGGAAACGAAGAAAAAACAGCCTGTGTGAGCGACGTTATGGTGGAAAAGTCGTTGGAGGATAAACCCACGCAGGAGACTGAGGGAACGATGACACAAAATTCCAAGCGAAAGTCAACGGAGGCGAGCAACCAAACCCATGAAGAAGATAGCCCTCCCAAGAAGAGGAAGTCGACATAAAAAGGGCAGAACTGCGACTTTTGACTTCTTTGGTATTGTACTGGAATTTGTTTGATGTTACTCGATTGTTTTGTGCCCTTGGTTACACATTGTAGTTTAGAAGAGAAGAGCAGAACAAACAGGATCGAAAAAATGACGAGACTGTTTAAAATTTTAATCTTCTAGCTGATCAGTTAATCCGTTTAGTTTGTAAGATTGCTATCAAAGTTTTTTTTAATTGAAATTCAGTACGGTAAATTTGAAATCCGACAGTGCGTGCTGAAGAACTTTCTGGCGTATCTCGTCTTCTGTGGCTTCAGTTTTTACGGCAGTTTATCAAATGAGAAATGGAAGACATGCCAAGTTTTGCATTAAATCTTTCATTCTGAAGAACACCATCTTTAAGCTCCACCCCTTTTCTACATTGTAAGTACCTTATTTATCTACGTCAGTTTAAGCTTATATTAATTAAAAGTGGCACTAATAAGACTGTCATAAAAATATTCTTCGACAAGCTAAGAATCATGGCTTGAATATTATTTAACTACCTTAAGAAAATTTTCTACCCTATTTCTTCCATCTCAACCTGGAAATGAGATTGAAAATTTCTGAAATTTCAATCAAAGCACAAAAACTAAAGCTGCGGTAAGTCAAAGTTCACTTTCATACGATTAAGCTAAGTGCTTTCCGATTATAGTCAGAAACGGGCTGCTTCCGGAACTGGTAATGTCTGGCTTTTTGGCCTTGTTAGAAAGGTTTCGTGAGCAAAGAGAACTCCTTATCGTATTTTTCAAGGATCAGAGATGGAAATACAACCTCGCTTTCCTATCGGTATGAGCCTGTATGTCGAAGGTGGTCGATAAGGCTTTATGCAAAACAGAATCGAGTCCTTATCGTACAGTGAAGAAGTTGTGAGGTTATCAAAACTGAATTATTTTCGTTTCTTTGAGATGGCGAATCTGATAAATCAAGATTTTGTAGATACTTCGTTGACTCAGAACTTACTTTCCCCGTCACTTTCAAGCTAGCTGAGAATTACATTCCGCGATCGGAAACCACATCATGTAATTCCACAATTGTCTCAGATTTTTTACGACGACGTACGTGCAAGGAAGGGTCAACAATTTTCGTTTCGATGCCCCAGGAAAACTTATGATCTTAATAGATAATTGAAGTTTAATTTGCCCTCACACTTCTTAAAAACTCGTTATGGTAATTCATATGAGGACTTGGTTGAGTAGGTGAGCATTTGGAATGAACCATTCTTTCAAGAAAAGTCGAAAAGAATCAAGGTCTTCAGATTACTTAGTTTGTGGTGCGGAAAATCGGGAAACCTAACCCCTAACAAACCAATCAATGAATCCTGACCCGTCTTGAACCACATTCCGCCCCCGTTCGTCCAATAAAATAGTTTTGCTCGGATTTCGGTTACTAGTCAAAGGGACCGCACAGCTGTTTCGCTCATCGCTTATTCATGATTGATTGTTTGGATTGTTTTCATTAATTACCATGCACGAATATGGCAAGGGCGCTCCGGGAACACCTCAATCCACTCACAGAGCTGTCAAATATTTCTCGTTGATGCGCAGGCGAATGACCTCGAAGGACATGACAACGTATTCAAAACTAACTCTGCTCTTGGCTTTACTTCTCTAGCTTCTCACGCAACATACATACGTGTAACTTTTAAGGTATTTGGAGAACATTCGGTACACTAACAAGCACTTCAAAGATGGGTTCTATTCGCATACTTCACGTGGTTTGTTTATTGAGCTTGATGTTGAGAGCATGGCGCGCAGATTGCCAGACTTCGCAATTGACTTGTTCAGGACATCTTGGAGCAAACGGGTTATCGAATCCTCAAACGCCTATAAAAGGTGAGAAGTGAAATATTTCGTTTCTTCATTAGTACAGAATTGTACTTGTCATGGTCTAACCCGCGTAATAATTTGTCGTTGATAGGGAAGGAGCCACAAGTTTGTGTCAGTGAGACAACATGCTGTACGAGACAAACGGAAGACTCTCTGCGGGTTCGAGCAGCGAAGAATTTAAAGACTCTCCTGCAAACTGACTACGTGGCTGCTAAGAGTTCGCTGTTGTCTCTTTATGACGATTTGAAAGGTTAGCGTCCTTCGACAGTTCGTTAAATTATTTTGTAAGCCGATGAAAAGCACTTTATTATTTGCTTTATATAAACAAATTCTTAGGCTACTTGAATGATCGCAGCTGCGAAGGGATTTTGCGGTTCGGTTTGTAATTGTTTCCAAAGGAAAATATGAGCAGTGTTACTGCTCTAACACAAAAAAACTTGGGCTCTCTCGAGGAATTTAGAACAATGCCGATCAATTGCTTTTTACACCGATTTCCTATGGGCTCTTCATTAATTACAATCTACTCGAGCATATTTCAGCATGCCTCAAATTGTTATTGTCTATTGTCGAGTGTGTTAATTCACTTAAAAACCGTAAAGTTAGACTGTTTGCCAGTGTTTCCTTCCTGTATTGATATTGGGTTTCTGTTATACAAGTGCAGAAACAAAATTTTATTTAATTTAATTTTCCTCTTTTCTTGATCAACCTGTGTGAATAATGTATTTTAAATAACTGGATTATCGACATTTGAATGAAGACTTGCAGAAAACTGTTTTTTCGGGGGTTCGACAATGTCGGAACACAAATTGGATAGAACGTACCTCTCCCTCTTTGCAGTGTTACTTATATTCCGTAGTAAGCTTACACTAAAATCGTGATGATGTTTTTTGTTGCGACCATAATGCTCACATTTTCATTGAGAGTGGCTGTAAACTTAAGATTTGTCACAAGAGGTCTCAACACGTACGTTTATTGTCAATAATTTATTAAGCAAAAGTATAAATCGCTAAATTCTGCTGTTGTCTAATGGTCAAGACATCAGGGTTTGTGGGTTATTTATCCCTCAGTAGACGCATGCTTCGGCAACGTGTCAGTTAGGAGTGAAAACGAAGTAACGTAATTGTTTTGTGGTAGATATTGTACATCTGTGGTCGTGATCGCGCATTTTTAAAGAAGTGTAAGAGTTTATTTGCGTGGAGAAGTTTTGTCTTTAACGTTCCTGTTCTACTGTTGTAGCCTCCGGGCTGAAGAATTCGCATCCTTGAGTGTGACAATCGAAATTGATGAACAGACATAAATCATCCAAACGCTGAAGCTTTCTTTTCACACAGCGGGAAGTTTTGTCTAAGCAGAAGGGGTGGATGTACAAGAGTCAAAGATTCTGTCCCTGCTTATCTGGCTGGTCCTCAAAACTGTATTTTCTGCTTCCATGCCAACAGTTTAATTCCATAAGAATGTAAATTTAAAAGAACTTATAAATTGGGTCTGAACACATTTAAACACTTAATTCTATGTACACAAAATAACCTACAGTTTCTATTGTCCTGTGAGATGGGTGCTTATTGTTTATAAGTATGCTCTTGCATTTTGTTTTGAATTTTAAGAATTGAAGAATTGAATGTTTCCCACTAGTATATAAGACTTAATCAGATATGCAAGGGGTTGACAGCCTGGTTGAAACATTTTTTCCTTAATTTTGCAAGATTTGTCAGACCAAGTACAAAATGTCAATTATTCTTGTTGACTGGTTTAAGTACATATGCAAATCAATATTTACTCGAGCACATGGTAATCAATTGTTAGGTAGTTGATGATATGCTTTTGTTCCAAAGATTGCTCTGAATTTGGGTTATCGAGTTGACAGGGGCTGTCCACTTAAAATATTACATGGCAGCTGAACAGTCAAATGCTGAATTTTTCATATTCCTCGAGACTACAATCTTGGACGAAATAAATGGAACATCTGGACCACCCCTCCCCCCATTTCAATGATGCCAAAATGGCGCATTTTTGCTCCTTCGTGCCTTCATCATTGCTTTGGTGGGGATGGGGGATAATTGTTCCATTTTATTCTGTCCAAGATTGAATCTTGGACAAACTAAATGGAACATCTGGACCACCCCTGCCCCCATTTCAATGATGCCAAAATGGCACGTTTTTGCTCCTTCGTGCCTTCATCATTGCTTTTGGGGGGATGGGAGATAATTGTTCCATTTTATTCTGTCCAAGATTGTAGTCTCTCATTATCTTTTGAGGTTTCATCCAAATTATTTTAAAAGGTTATTCGGTTTATAGTTAACGTTGCATGGAATTTTAAGAATTGCGCAACAAGAAGAGAGGGGAGATCTGAAATAAAAAACAAAAAATGAGGATTTGACGAAGATTTGAAATCAGATTTTTCAGTAATAGGTCACATTGGACATATCAGTATTCTAACATGGCTCCGAGGCTCTCAGGACAAACTTCTTTATTTGGGTTGTTTTCTTTATATCCAAGTTTTTTTGACAATTGAGAGAGAAGAAATTTAAAAAGTTCACAGTTTTGACCTGAAAGCCTCAGAGCCATGTTAGAATACTGATATGTCAAAGGTGGCCTATTGAAAGATGCACCCAAAAATAGACTATCCCCAGCCTGAAATCCTTTTGTGCTGGGGCAGATTATTTTCCAGTGGTCCTTTCCCTCAGCTTTAACTTTCCTCTAATTTCCTAAAAACCCTTCCTAGAATTCTACCTGTCCTTGAATAACTACAGGTAGTTTTCTCTTACTGACATAGGAAAGCTTCTGCTCCTGACTGAGAGCAAGCTCCAGGTTAATTTTTTTTATCTCAGAGCACCTCCTACGCACACAATTTTGTTCCATTAGAGAATCATAGAGAGGGGGGATGTAAACAATATTTAGTTACGGATTTTCAAGTATCTTTAAATACTTCTGGTAACTGATAAATATATTCAATAATAATCATAAGAACATTTATTAGATAAACATGAGTGTTTTATTGGAAAATACACCACTGGTACATTCCTTATCAAACTGCATTGGGGTCCCAAGTGACGTATTTTCCATATCATCACTAGTAAGGGTATTGATGACGTTGTTTCCCACTGTTGCACAGTTGTTTGTGCAAACAGTCAGTTTGTCCTAGAGGAAAATTACATGGTGGCATGAAGATATGAATTGTGTTTTCTCACATTAAAAACAGTATTTTACTACTCAACTAAAATTCATATCTTCATGTTGTCATGTAATATCCTTCACTTATTATCACAATTAATATTTCCTCTTTTTATAGATTATTTTCAAGATGTCATTCAAGAGGGTCAACGCCAAAGTGCTCTTTTTCTGCTCAATACTCAGAAAAATCTTACCACAGCAGAGGCAAATGTAATATCAACTTTCTTCAAGGACCTTCAAAACTATGTGGTTGATGACAAAGTGGAGTTGCAAGACATTGTGGATACTTTCTTTCGAAATTCTTTTCCACTGGTTCTTGAGCGCATGAACCCAGCAGGAAAGACTGTTTCGAGTGGGTACAAACAGTGTTTAAAAACTAGCATTGATTCAATACAACCATTTGGGAAACGTCCAGCTCAGTTAGTGGCCAGGTTTGAGCAGATCTTTGAGCCAGTGCACTATCTTTTAAGCACCTTAAAGTTTGGAATAGAAGTGTTGAATATGGCGCAGAAATTTAACTTAACAACTGGGTGCAAAAATGTACTTTTGCAGATGAAATTCTGTTCAATGTGCCAGGGTCTTGACAAAGTGAAACCATGTCTCAGGTTTTGTATAGATACTGTCAGTAACTGTCTGACGTCTGAAATTGAGCTTCAGGCAGAGTGGAGAAGCTTAATTGGCACTGTTTTCTTGCTTATGGAAAGTATTGGAAAATCTGAGTTGGAGGACTTTTCAAACTCTATTTACAAGGAGTTGTGGAATGCTGCAACATATGTGATAGTACAGAAGGCTAATGTCATGTCACAGGTAAGAGTTAGGTAAATGGCTTGCAGTTCTTACCGCAATTGAACCTCCTTTTAATGGATACTTTAATAGAAACCATTACTTAACATTGACCAGTATTTTCATCCATACTTTCAGTCACCTTGCAATGAGTTGTTATCAGGGAAGGTTAACTTCAAGTTTGCTGCTGGTGGTTAAGTCAATCATTTTCCACCTCTCCTCTCTCCCTGCCACCCTTGTAGTTAATGCTATCCTCAAATGTTTCCCTTGCACATGCTCTGGCCTAAACACTTAATTACAACCCATCACAAGTAGTCTGACGTGTCTGAATTAAAAGTGTTTCTCCTGTACAATTCCAGACAGTCAACTTTGAGCAATTAAGTTCTGCATAGTGCTCCAGATTTTAGTCATTATATTTAGTGTGGGAAACGGGTAAAAAAAGAATAAAATAATATTCTGTGTTTAAGTATGACAATCCAGGTGTCATGATTGTTCCCCAAAGGCTTTGGACAAATGTGGGATACCAACATATATTGACGCTCAAGCATCAGAAGAATCTCAGAATGCAAAGTCTGTGTCGTCAGAACCATATGTGGAAGTACGGCTTTTTGCCAAAATGGAGGAAGTTAAAATGCAAGTGGATGCTCTTAGTCCTTTTTTCCAAGAGTTACCCCAGGAGTTGTGTGTGAAGGATGAACTTGCTGCTAAACAAACACACGTTGATAACTGTTGGAATGGCAAATCTGTTGGAAAGTAAGTTCCGTATGTTATTAAAATAATAAAAACCAAACCCTGTTATCAATGTTCCATCAAAAACATGCCTTTGACATCTTCATGCTAAGCAGTGTTGGTGCATATGCACCTGAGTTGATGATTTCATAATTCCAAGTTTGTGTAGTAATAATATACCTTTCATGTGCCAGGCCGGTTCCTCATAAGTTCCTGCAATGTGTGATGTTTCTCTTTCTTTCAATTTTTTGGGGAAGATCCAAATGTACATTGAACTCTTGGCAGGAGGAAACACAAACATGTTGAAATTATCCCATGTTCTCTAAAATCAACATTTGTACTGTGTTTTAGAAAACAGTCCTAAGAAAATATGCACGCTGATTGGTTAAAAATCTTGTTTCTATAACTTGATGGAAACACAGAACTAGCAAGAGCTGTTGACGTAATGATGGCGCAAGCAAAGAGAATTTACATTTTGATGATCGAAGTAAACAAACTCAAAAAAGCTGTGGAAACACTCGCATGCAGCTTGTGTTCCCACAGCATTTCTCATTCTCCCAAACTTCCACTCACATGTTTTCTATTTATAATAATGATAATGATAATGGGAATATTAGCATTTATTTAAACACATTAAAAATTACAGCAGAGCTGATGTGGTCGTGTAAACAAAATATAAATTCCTAACTAATCACAATTCCTAACCACAGGCAGCCCAAGCTCTCTCTATGAACCACACAAGCAATGCAATATAGCATCAAATTATAAGGGTTTATATGGGATTTTCTACAAGATATCCATGGAGGTAGTTAAAAGTGAAAATTCTCAATAAAAATGGCTTACCTTATTCCATNAAAATAGAATTATTGTCCCATATCATGGGGACAACCCCAATACTTGAAATGGCGCGCGCTTACGGTCTCCGTTCCCGATTATGGCTCCTGGAGGGAAGTGAATACAGAGTAGAACCCCGTTAATACGACCACCTTCGGGCCATGGAAAATTGGTCACATTAACGGGGTGGTCATATTAAAGGAGTTCTTTAAATAAGAAAGTGACTGACTGAGCTCTTGTTCGGGCCAGAATAAAGTGGCCGTAATAACGAAGTGGTCGTATTAACGGGGTAGGTTGCGACTTCCCAAGCTGCAGAAACAGCTAGCATAAGGCATAAATTGCGATTAGTTTCTAGACGAATACCATGAGATATTTGTCCCTTTCCTTTAAAAAAAAAAAAATTGGACCGATTGGGGTCGACTGGTTTAATTGCGTCAGATCAACGATCCAACTCACTAAAAAACTAGAATTCAATTGTGATCGATTGCCGAACCAATCGCTAAACAATCGAACGATTGGGGCTTGATTCATTTTTTTGTCCGGTTTGGTTCGATTGACTCCGCCAAGCATTAAACCCGTCTAATTAAATCTCCGGGAAATTTCAGTAATTCATCGGTTTCTTACAACTGTAGTCAGTGCATTCAACATTAAAACTGACTTTTTCTACTAGTCTCCGCGCAACTGGCTTTACATTCACGTAAACCGTCACTCACTCTGAGGCTAGAGCACACAAGCAATGAACCACACAAGCAATGCAATATGGCATCGAATTATAAGGGTTTATATGGGATTTTCTACAAGATATCCATGGAGGTAGTTAAAAGTGAAAATTCTCAATAAAAATGGCTTACCTTATTCCATACGCGTGTCGTTTGCTCCTGGTGTGGTTATTTTACCGATTTAACTTGATTTAAGCGACTTTTTTGAATTTCGGTTTTCCCTTCATAAAGAGGAGAACAAGGCGAAACACCTCAGTCGGGACAGCCTGCCGAACGAAGTCAAAAATCCGAGACTAAAATGTACCCACGGCCACAAGTCTACCGCAGAATTCAAGAAAAGGTTGATCTTTCATTCCAATTCTCTAGCCACACAATCGCAGCCCTGCGAGCGACGCCAGGCGGCTCTTCGTGTCCCCAGTGAAACGATAAAACGGTGGAAGAGATCCGCGTCCGTTTCATCCACGACCGTTGAAATCGACTTGGTAACCTCGGCATTGTTTTATCGTTTCACTGGGGACACGAAGAGCCGCCTGGCGTCGCTCGCAGGGCTGCGTTTGTTTGGCTAGAGAATTGAAATAAAAGATCAACCTTTGCCCTTGAATTCTGCGGTGGATTTGTGGCCGTGGGTACATTTTAACCTGGGATTTTCGACTTCGTTCGGCAGGCTGTCCCGATTGAGGTGTTTAGATAGCCTAAAAGAAAGAGGGACTACTCGTGGTCTACTCCTCTAAAGTAAACGTTTATTTTCTGGATCTAGCCAACGCCTTGAACAACGTTGTAGTACATCAGGAACATATCACATGTGATATGCTCCTGAGTACATGTATTTTTAAAAGTTAAGGTGGGACTTAAGGTGGGACCTAAAAACACTTAAAAACACACCATGTTTCAAACATTTTTTCGTGGCCAAGAGTTAACTCCAAACCATGGCAAAGTATACATTTATAAAAAGCTCAAAGACCAAAGATTATGAAAAAATATTTGTGGACCCTATAACTGTATTGTAACCTGACACCGGCTGATTAAATCTGCCACCTTCTGGGGAATGCCAGGGCTTACTTGAGAAAAGATAACTCCTACAAGAACTGATCAAAAGGAATAATTTTTACATTTTACAAAAGAAGACAAACAGCTTGC